AGCCTCTGAGAAAGCCTTTAATCAGTGTGCCTCTCAACAACATGATTAAACCAAATTCAAGTGATATCCATCGACCATTGACATGCAGGCAATATGTACACACTGGCACAGTAGTGAAATGGCTTTATTGGAGAAGTCAACCACCTTACATTGGAGTTTAAACATGCTCTGCAGGACAGATTTAATTCTTTTAATTCTTTGTCCTTGCAACCCGTGGAAAGCAAAACCATAAGCAACATTCCCCATGCTCTGCTTCAGCTCCTGACTCCATGTTACTACCATGAGTCCAGGCCTTGACTTTTCCTCATGCTTGACTAATCGAGTCATATGTGCCAAATAAGCCCCTTTCTTCCCACATTGATTTTGGTCATGACCATTATCACAGTGATGCTAATACAGTATATGAGGACAAATTAATTATTTCATATTTAAAATTCAGTTTTGCTGAAATACATATCATATACATATGTGCCCATGCACATGCGCACACGTACACTTAAACACATACATATTGCATGTATATATACAAATAAAAGTCAGAAGTCACTGTAAGAGTCTTCTCAACCTCTCTCTACCTTTCTTCACTCACTGAAAATAGAGATGAATGGACTTTACTAATCTTTCTGGGCAACAAGATTCTGGAATTCTCAGGTCTCTCTGCCTTCCCAGATGTGGGATTACAAGCTTGCACCACCGTAGTTGATATCTGATGTGACTGATGGGGATCTGGACTCAGTTCTTCAGCCTTGCACAGCAAGGACTTTACAGATGACCTTTACAGGCCTGACTTATGTTTTTTTTTTTTTTTTAATTTCTGTTCTATGTTTCTCTGTGGATATAAGAGTAACAACAGTGATCTATTTCCACAGGCCTGACTTAAAAGTAATTTTTTATTTTATAATGCCTGTTGTATGCTTATCTGTGGATATATATAACAAAATGCTTCTTGCTTTAGCTATTTTCTGATGCTGTGATAAAACATTATGATCAAAAGCAACTTCAAGAGGAGTTTATTTTGGCTTAAAGTTCCAGAGGACTAGGTATTCATATGGCAAGGAAGATGCAGTGGTAAGAGACCTGAGCAGGAAGCTGAGAGAGCACATCTGAACCTCTAAGAGCACACAGGAAGTAAAGCATGAACTGGAGGTGAGTTGAGGCCTTAAATACTGAAATCCCAACAGCAGTGTCGTACTATCCCCGTCAAAGTTCTACATATTCAAAGTTCCATACTGCCCTCCCATCAGCACCACTAACTTGAGGACCAGGCGTTCAAATACGTGAGTCTATTAGGGAAATTTCTCATCCATTCGTGCCACTGTATCTCTGTATCATTTTTCAAGTTATTCTCCAAATGACTAAGCTCTAAGAAATGTTTATGTTAAAAGTTTTGTGTCTTAAAATCACACTAGTTGCATAAATCTTCCAAGTACTGTGACTTAGGAGACAACTTGAGTGTCTCAGTTCTAGGTTCAGGAGACAAGATGATGTAGAAGACTAGATACTCCTGACTCTGAATCAAACCCAATGGAATGATTCTTTAATCTATAATGATGTCAGATTAACCCCACATTAGCTTTGGGACTAGATGATAGAAAGATCCTGCTTTACTCTCAGTAAAGTAATTTCATCCATGGGTGTTTATTCTTAACATTCATCTGCAGTTCATGCTCTTCCCTATCAGCCTTTGGAGTGCCTGATGACATTCATAGATTTGGATTAAAGGCCACTTGGTGGGTGTAAATTTCCCCTATATTCTGTGCCAGGTCATCTCCTTCTACGTTTTTACAAAACCCAAATGGTTTCTTTTATTTAACAGAATCATGATGAGAAATGTATTGTTGTTTGATGAGTTCTGAGTGGTCAAAGTGTTCCTGAAACAATGTCACATAGGGCACCCACAGAGCATTCCCCCATGAGCCTCTTCAGAAAGACTAGGAGGTGCAGAGTCAACACAGTGGCACATAAAAGTCTTTTAGATGTGCTTGAATTACTCTAGAACTTTCTACTGACCTCAACTCCAAGAGACTCCCCTGCTTTTCAGGATGTTTTCACCAATTTGTTTGAAAAGTGTGAAGTTTGTGATTTTTGTTGTTCAGTTACTACAAAAACATCATAAAACTGCTGCCAAGTTGGTCGATGGTATTAGAGGAAACTGGATTCTCTTTTGCAGGAAACAGTGGCTCAATATTTGGTTCCAAAACAAACTATCTCTTATATCCCCTTTGAGGTTAGAATTGTGTTTTTGTTTCAATAAGGAGTGTATTCCAGATTCTGATTTGTGAAACTAAAGCCAATGCTTGACTGGAAGTTGAGTACCAGAGATGGTAACCAGGGAAGAGACAGAAACTCTCAGTAAGGGCACAGAAGAACATCTTCTCACACTGGGAGGAGCCTCAGGAAGTTGAATCCAGGAGAGATAGAGGTCCACCTAATCATCCTCTTCCCTAGACAACCTGTGACATCCAAGGATGCAGAGAGACAGAGTGAAGAGTAAGTGCTTTGCAGCAAGCTAGCATTACCAGAGGAGTGTAGGAAACATGTAAATAATATTATAAAAGAGTTCCTCACAAAATTGCATAATTTGTTAATTTCACCTAATAAGAAGAGGAAATAATTTTTCAGGTGGAAATGAATCCCAGAGAAAAACATGACTATTTTGTCTGGTTCCAATTTATTTATTTTTTATTTTTTTATTAATTACTATTTATTCATATTGTATCCCAGTGGTAGCCCCATCCCTCATTCCCTCCTAATCCCACCGTCCATCCCCATCTCCTCCCATTCTCCTCTTTAAATAAACTGATAGGGGTGAACCTCCTCTCATTTCTTGTAACCCTAGCTTATCATGTCTCATCAGGAGTGGATGCATCATCCTCCTCTGTGGGCTGCCCAGGCTGTTCCCTCCTCAGGGGGAGGTTATGAAAGATCCAGCCACTGAGTTCATGACAGAGACAGTCCCTGTTCCCCTTACTGAGCTGCCATGGGCTACCTCTGAAGAGGGATTCTAGGTTATCTAGGTTTTGTCTATGAATGGTCTTTGCTAAAGTATCAGTCTCAGTACAGACCTCTGTGCCCAGATATTTTGGTTCTGTTGCTCCCCTTGCGGAGCTCCTGTTCTCTCCACATATTACTATCTCTCCTTTCTTGGAAAAAATTCCCTGTACTTGCCCAAAGCTTGGTTATGTCTCTAAGCATCTTCTTTGATACACTGCTGGGTAGAGTCTTTCAGAGGCCCTCTGTGGTAGGCTACCTTACTGTTTCCTGTTTTTTCCTTCTTCCAATGGCCATCCCTTATGTCTTTCTCAGAGAATATTAATCATCTTACACAAGGTCCTGCTTCTTGCTTAGCTTCTTTAGGTATACAGATTTTTTAATTAACTTTTTTATTTTTATATTAATTACAGTTTATTTACTTTACATCCCAGCTGTATCCCCCTCTCTCATTCCTTCCCAGTCCCACACTCCATGCCTCAACTCATCCCTGCCCCTCTCTAAGTCTACTGATAGGGGAGGTCCTCCTCCCTTTTCATCTGAAATTAGCTTATCATGGCTCTTCAGAACTGGCTGAAATGTCCACTTCTGTGGCCTTGCAAGGCTGTTCCTCCCTCAGGGATGGGGAAAGGTCAAAGAGCCAGCCATTGAGTTCATGTCAGAGACAGCCTACATTCCCTTTACTAGGACACCCACTTGGATACTGAGATACCATGGGCTCCATCAGAGCAGGAGTTCTAAATTATATCCATTAATGGTCCTTGGTTTGAGAATCAGTCTCAGAAAAGACCCCTGTGCCCAGATATATTTGGTCCCTGTGGAGCTCCTGTCCTCTCCGGGTCTCACTAACTCTCTCTTCTTTCATATGATCCCATGCAATCTGCCCAAAGTTTGGCCAGGAGTCTCAGCATCTGCTTTGATGCACTGCTAGGTAGAGTCTTTCAGAGGCCCTTTAGAGTAGGCTCCAGTCCTGTTTCTTGTTTCTCCTACTTCCAATGTCTATTCCATTTGTCTTTCAAAGTGAGGATTGATCAACTTACCCTGGGTTCTTCTTCTTGTTTAGCTTCTTTCAGTTTACATATTTTAGTAGGTTTATCTTATTTTATAGGTATAGTATCCATTTATAAGAGAGTACACACTGTTTGTGTCTTTCTACTTCTGGGATACCTCACTCAGGATGATCTTTTCTCAGTCCCACCTGCAAATTTGCCTGCAAATGTCATGATTTCCTTGTTTTTAATTGCTGAGTAGTATTCCATTGTGTAAATGTACCACAGTTTCTGTATCTATTGCTCCATTGAGGGACATCTCGGTTGTTTCCAGGTTCTGGCTATTACAGATAAAACTGCTATGAACACGGTTGAACAAATGTCCTTTTTGTGTACTTGAGCATCTTTTGGATATATGCCTAGGAGTGGGATAGCTGCATCTGGAGGAAGCATTATTCCTAATTGTCTGAGAAAGCACCAGATTCATTTCCAAAGTGGTTGTACAAGTTTACATTTCCAGAAAAAAATTGAAGAGAGTTCCCCTTTCTCGACATTCTCTCCAGCATGTGTTATCAAATCAGATTTTGATCTTAGCCATTCTGATGGGTGTAAGGTGAAATCTAAAGGTTGTTTTTATTTGCAGTTCCCTGATGACTAAGGATATTGAACATTTCTTTAAGTGTTTCTCTGCCATTCTTTATTCCTGTATAAAGAATTCTCTGTTTAACTGTGTACTCCACTTTTTAATTTGGTTACTTAATTTGATGTTTTTAAAAATTATTTAGTTCTTTATATATTCTGGAATTAGACCTCTGTCAGAAGTATGAATGATGAAGATCCTTTCACAACAAGCAGAGCAACAGAGCAACAGAACCAGAAAATCTGAACACAGGGGTTTTTCCAGAGACTCATACTTCAAGTACCAGGCATGGAGATAACCTAGAACCCCTGCACAAATGTAGTCCATGGCAGTTTAATGTCTAAGTGGGTCACATAGTAATGGGAAGAGGGACTGCCTCTGACATAATCTGATTGGCCTGCTCTTTGATCACCTCCCCCTGAGGGGAGAACAGCCTTACCAGGCCACAGAAGATGACAATGCAGCCACTCCTGATGTGATCTGATAGAATAAGTCTCTAAGTGGGTCCCCTGTTCCTAGGGGAACAGGGGCTGACACCAACATGAACTCAGTGGTTGGCTTTTTGATCACCTACCATTGGGGTGAGAGCAGCACTACCAGGCCTCAGAGTAAGACAATGCAGCCAGTCCTGATGATATCTGATAGGCTAGGGTCAGAGGGAAGGGGAGGAGGTCCAACCCTAACAGTGAACTGAGGGAGGGGCATGGGAGGAGAAGAGGAAGGGAGGGCGGGATTTGGAGGAGATGAGGAAGGGGGACATAGCTGAGATACAGAGTGATAAAATTTGTAATAAATAAATAACAATCAGATGCATATATGCTGATAATGCAATCCAGGTCTTTCATATTTATACAGCCATCTATTATTGCAGCAAAAAACTGTTTATTACATGAAAAAATAAAAACAATTCAGAGAATCAATGAAACCAAAAGCTGGTTCTTTGAGAAAATCAACAAGATAGACAAACCCTTAGCCAAACTAACTCAAAGGCAGACAGAAAATATCCAAATCAGCAAAATCAAAAAGTAAATGGGAGACATAACTACAGACACTGAAGAAATTCAAAGAATCATTAGGTCTTCCTTCAAAAGCCTATACACCACAAAATTTGAAAATCTAAATGAAATGGACAATTTTCTTGATAGATATCCTATTCCGAAGATTTAAGATTCTTAATCTAAAGTAATAAACTCATGATGATGTATTCTTTGTGTTGGGATCAGTAAGCAGGCACTTCTACGGCCAGCTCCAAGGGACCTAACCGGTGATCAGGCATTTGTGAAGACACCCTGACCACCTGGAACTACCTGCGCATGCCCTTGGGTCACCCTATAAGAGAACTGGAGCCCTCCCCTTCCTCTCTCTCTTCCTCTCTCACTTCCTTTCTCTGTTCCTTACTCTCTTACTTTTTCTCTGCTCCCCTCTCCCCCCTTCCCCTAATAATCCTCCCATGTGGAACCTATCTCATGGTGTGATTTGTGAACCTGCATGTAACCTTCACATTCGTAGGTTTCCTAACACTTTGTAAATGATTTGAAATTCTATTCTATTTTTATAAAGATTTATCATAGCCTGAAAGTATAACAAAGAGATAGTGAAAGTCACCATGACAGTGCTCACTTCACTGATGTTTCTTACTTATACTCTATCCTGTCAGTGCAACACCATAACTTTTAAATCTCTTAACTTAGTTTCCCCTTTTAATCTATACACACCAGTGTTGACAAATCCATGGAAGAATGGAGGCTGTATCTTAATTATTAATCAGCCATGCATAGAAAATCTCAGACAGAAAGAGGAAGTATGCAGGTCCAGGGCTGTGTGTGGTGCAGGCAGCTGGTGAGACTCTCAAGGAGGTTTGTGTTGGAGGCTGAAGCACTGTGGGAGGAGAGCTGCTACCCTGCTGACAGTAATAAACTGCCAGGTCTTCAGCCTGCACACTGCTGATGGTGAGAGTGTAATCTGTCCCAGATCCACTGCCTGTGAAGCGATCAGGGACCCCAGAGGGGCGATTGGATGCATAATAGATTAGTGGTTTCGGAGGCTGCCCTGGTTTCTGTTGGTACCAAGCTACATACTTATACACATTCTGACTGGATTTACAGCTTAGGGTGATCCTGTCTCCTACAGATGTGGACATGAATTCAGGAGACTGAGTCATCACAATGTTCCCCTCAGCACCTGCAACCAGAAATAGACAATAAATATACACATATGCAAACAAAGAGTTCCTGATACAAATGTTTGGATCTAAAATGCCTTTCCTAATGGCATTGCCTGAATACAATTGATTCCTATAATAAATAGTTTCTCTACAAATGAATTATTTTGATGATATTCTTATACTCTTTAATGTCTCACCAGACATCCAAAAGAGCAGGAATAGGAAGACTTGGGTCTGTGCCTCCATCTTGGTGCCCCAGGCTTTCTGATGCTTTTCAGTTCTCACTGCAAAGGCCTGGTTTATAAATTATGGGCAGCTGGGCTGTCTTGCAGGGACCTATGCAAATTAGACATGAAATGAGAAAGTAAATAACCTTGGAACTGGGTTGTGAGAGAATCCAGGTTAAATCTACAGATAAAAATATCATCAAAGCAAGTAACCAATCACTGGGGGGGAAAAGTAAACATAGAAGCTCAAGGACCAACTTAGAACTCTCAATCTGCAAATATCAAGATGCACTCATGACAGGCTTCTATGAAAAATCAAAAACATTTAAAGCAAGTAAGTTTAATAGAAATAATACTAGAAAAACTTTTATTACAATCCTGAGGAAACAATATAGTGATAAACAAGAACAGAAAGATGCAGGGGAAGCAGAAAGGAGAAAGGAAAGAAAGAAGGGGAAAGTAGAAGAGTGGGTGAGAGAAAGGAAAGAAGGAGAAGAAGGAAAGACGGAAAGGGAAATCAGGATTTTATATATAGGTAAAATTTAGTCATAGGTAAAATCAGAATTTCAATAAAGAAAAATAAGGTCATTTCTGGAATTTAAAGATTATCTATTTAAAGAATATGGATTGCTAATATGAAAAGAAAAATGTAATTTCTAAACTACTTATTCTGCTAATGAACACAGCCATAAAAATGAGAATATTTTGTGTCAAATCACCTTTAAAATCATACTACCAAAATAGACAAAAGAAGTGGAAAATAAATATTTAATCTTGACTCAAGTAGTAGCTCCCATAAAAGATTAAAGGACATATTGGTCCTTGAATGCTCTCCTAGACTTTCAAGTCTACTTGAATAAGACGAGGCTCATTGATCCTTGGACAGAGAGGAGAGTGCTTACCAAGTTGTGTAGAGATAAAAAGTTTTCTGGTTCAGACACTGGCTGTCAGGCTGAGCTCTAAAGGTGTCTGTATTGCAGACTAATGCACTAAGGAGGAGACTGCAACAGCCTTCACAGTAACAAACAGTCACCTCTTCAGTCTGAATGCTGATGGTAGAGAAACTGAACCTTGTCCTAGATCCAGGAGCAGTCAAGATGCCTGGGAGTTACCCAAGTGAACAAATGGGTAGCCTTTCTCTGTTTTTGGTGGAATCAGGTTAAACAGCTGGTTGTGAGAGCTGTGTAGATACCATTGATGTTGCAGCTGATGGTGACCCTCTATGCTGCAGACATGGTCAGGGAGGTTCTCTACTTCCACCAGTTTCCTCCACAAACTGTTCCTCTCTAGTCTCCCCCAGAAGAAGCCTACAGTTCATAGCTCCTCCTAGAGGTAACCACTGGAAATTATGTTAGCTCCAAGCTGTGTTAGAGTCTTTTAATTTATGCACACAATCAATAGTGTATCTAGAATCCCACAACTTGTAGTGTATAGATGTGGTGGTAAGTTATAATCACTTCCAATCTCATTAGGTTTTATAACAGGATGGCTGGTGGGGGTGAGGCATGTGATAAAATATGTTTTGGCTGGCATTTCTATCCACGTTCCTAAGATATTACTCCTATACCATTATGGACTTAACTTGCCACATAGTGCGGTTTTAAGAGTCACACCTGTGCCCAGTTTTGTGATGGGTGCCTATAATCTGAAAATTTGGGATGCTGGCAGAGGAAAAAACAGGCATATGCCCGAATCCTATGTTAAATAGTTGATTCTACACAGGAACATAGCTAGATACATTATCAAGTATATATATACACACACACTCTTCTGTCTCCCATTGCATAGAGTTCCATTAACATGTACATATGTTGTCATTCAAAGGAAGTTAACAAATAAATTTCCTATTCCTTATCATTGATGAGAAAGTAGTTAGTACTGTCAGTCAGACAAAAAAAAAAAAAAAAAAAAAAAAAAAAAAAAAAAAAAAAAAAAAAAACCTGAGGTGGTAGAAAGTAGGATGAAAAGTGGATGAGCTGGTGGGGTGTGTCACAGAAATAAGGGGATAGGAATGCCTTCTCCAGAAACAGCTACTTGAGAGCAGACCTGACAGCAGAGATGTGGCAGTTCAAAAGTGCAAAGAAGATCTCTTTAGTCATGCATAGGACCCTGAGTTCATTTAAAGCAGAAGAAATTAAATGGAAGGAGTCTGGGAAAGCTAATCCTGTAGAAGAAGCTAAAATAGCCTGTGCATAGAGTCCAGCATATGAATGAGACTGCCTGATTTGGGAAATCTCTCCGTAATTTTGAGGTTAATGCTAAGTGCAATGAGAACCTGTGAGAAAATGGTCACAGTGAGAACATGTTTTCTAGATAGATTTTAGTCAAGGTTGTGTTGACACACAAAGGAGGAGAAAATGTGGAGATTTGCTCTTTTCTGTGTGGAATTATGAAAGCTGCTGCTTCAGACACTGGCTGACAGGCTGAGCTCTAAAGGGGGATTTTATAGCAGCCTGACACACTGAGGAGTCTACAGATGAAATTTTAAGATTTTTCCCCATCATTATATGAAACATACAGAATGATATTAATGTTAATGACCAGAAATGTAAACCTGTCCAAGAAACTATGTGTGGGTAGTCATAGGGACAAGGAAAAACATACCATAGTTAAATTGTTCATTTGTTTGCTGGCTTGTTTGTTTTCTGAATGGACATAGCATCAGACTGCTTTAAATGTCCTTTTATTTAAGCCCATAGAATCATGCTATTCTTAAAATTCATCCTAAAATTCTCTTTTTACAGTAGAAAGTAGTTAAGACAGAGGCTCACAATTGGTCAAGGAACACAAAACAGGTGACTGGGGAGTACTTATCCCAAAGGGAACGTCTTCCACCCCAGATCTCAGGGACCTTCAAGGAGAATAGACAGAATCCACATAAAGACCAGACACTATGAACAAGGGCTGTGACACAGGGCCTTGTGGGAATAGCTTTTCTGTTGTCCTCATGAGCAAACTGCCACAATAGCAATTTGCACCACTTGACCCACCACCATTTCCTCATGCAAGGGGAAGGGGCCAATGTGGCCTTATTCTTCCCTGAAAGTCAATGAGTAAGTAAGAAATGACAGAGTAGGAACATGGGGAGTCATTTTCTTGAAGAGTGTAGTCCATATTCCAGGAAATAATCAGAAGGAAAAATAAAGAACTGCAACTTGAAAAATCAATGGTTTGGGGAAGACTTATTCATCAGGAGATAGGGGAGCAAGATTAAAGGGAATGGGAGTGAAATGCTCAAAATCCAATATATACATGTATGAAATTTTCAAATAAAACTTTTAAATGCAAGTTCTGAATAATACCCACGTTCATAAATGCAATTGGCACACAATCAGTAATTAGAAACTTATTCTGATGTCATGGAGAAAGTACTCTTAGTTTGCTGACTCAATATTCCTGACTCTGCAGTCAACACACTAACCCCAATGTGTGTGTTTAAGCAGCAAGGCACATGTCTCTAAAGGAATTCAGCAGTTACATTATATAGTAGGACCTCTAGAGTGGCAGGTTATTTTCAGTGGATCTCATCAAATCACAGGACACCTTATAACATACATTCAGACAAAAAGAAACAGATCAGAAAGCCTCGTGATATAATCAGTAGTAGTCTCCAATACCATCTTTCAATAAAAAATAACCATGATGTGAACCAAACAAAAATAATATATCTTGTCTAACAGCCACTCAGTGTATAGTTTGAAAGACCGTGAAAAGAGATCCCTGATGCTCCATTCCTATTCATGTAGAGTACCAGATTCAAGATTGGTGAATTTCTGTATTTTTTTAATTGCTGTATTAATAACCACTTGTTACTCAAAAAAGGAAAATCAACATAGCACATGTTGTCATAATATCAGAGATTGATATGGATGACACACACACACACACACACACACACACACATGCTTACTCCCCCACAATAACGAATCTGTGCCAGCAATTTTCCTTTCTTAGGTACAACTTTAGCAGCAGTCCACACTCTCAAACAACTGGACCTCCCTGATCTTCCTGAAAAATACTCCAGAGACCAGAGAAAGACAGCTCCAGTCTGAAGTTCAGACTCAAGGATAAAACAGTGAAGATCACATATAAGCAAATGGCCAAAGGTAGGCATAAGAACTCACCCAACAAAAACCAGGACACCATGGACCCACCAGCAACCTCAAAAATCAATGGATATTTTAACTCAGCGGAAACACAGGAAAATGGTTTTAAAGCTATGCTTATGCAGTTGTTAGAGAAACAAAAAGAGGAAATGAACAAGCTCTCAAAGAAATACAGAAGACTATAACTGCCCACACAGGAACAATTAGAGACATATAGAGAAGAAACAAACAAAAAAATAGGAGCCACATTCACTCAGATGCAGGAAATGGTCTAAAGCATGAAAACAGACCTAGAATTTATAAAGAAAACACAAACAGAGAAAAACCTGGAACTGGAGAACTTAGAGAAAAGATCAGGAATCACAAAGGTAAGCATCACCAATAGAATACAAGAAATGGAAGAAAGAATCTTAGGTGCTGAAGATACACTGATTCCTGAAACTGATTCCTCCCTCAAAGAAAAGATAAAATCAGAAAAGTTGGAAACACAAAACATACAAGAAATTAAGGATGCCATGAAAAGACGAAACCTAAGAATAATGGGGATAGCTGAAAGAGAAGACTCCAGGCTCCAAGACCGGAAAATATTTTTAAGAAAATCATAGAAGAAAATTTTTCCAACTTAAAGAAAGAGATGTCCATAAATATACAAGAAGCCTACAGAACACTAAATAGACTAGACCAGAAAAAGAATACTTCACGTCACATCATACTCAAAATTCTAAAACTACAAAACAAAGAAAAAATATTAAAGGCAGCAAGGGAAAAGGTCAAGTAACATATGAAGGTAGACGAATCAGAATCACACCGGACTGCTTATCAGAAACTATGAAAGCCAGAAGGGCCTGGGCAGAGGTCACACAGTCCTTAAGGAACCACAGATGCCAACCCAGACTACTACACCCAGCAAAGCTTTCAATCAACCTAGATG